CCTACTCTGTGGGTGTGGCCTCCTTTGTGGGAGTGGCTTGCCACCCATGTGACTGGATGGGAGTGGCTTGCCGCCCATGTGACCGGATATGAAATTATGAATTAGTACTTAGGTCGGTCCAAGTAGCTATTCAGAAACCCTGCCATTGAAGCATACAAGTCTTAAAGCTGTCAAGTTACAAGAACCTTGGCAGTGCTGGGTTTCAAAAAATTTTGGAACCTCTTCTATAGGTAGGGCCTGCTTTCCGGGTCCACTGGTGGAACCTCTTCTAACCGGTTCCATAGATTTGATGAACCGGTTCTACCAAATAGGTGCGAACTGGTAGGAACCCACCTCTGGTCTAGAGTCACATAATTTTTAAAGAAAAACATCCTGGAAGAAGGCAATGAAAAACAATGAAAAACATATTCTTGTTATCAAGAAACCTATGTGGATGTACCCCAGGGGTGGGTTTCAACCTGTTCGCGGCGGTCCCTGCGAACCGGTTGGTTGCCGAACCCGGAAGTAAGTAACTTCCGGGAACGGCGAAGCCCCCCGCGCGCGTGCCCGCGCCCACTCCTTACCTGGTTTTGACAAATTCTGCGCTTCCACGCACGCGCAGGACGCATACAGTGCCTGCGCGATCCTCCAGGAGCAGCTGGAGCATCGCACAGACGCTAGTACGCATGCGTGCGCAGCGCACGTGCACGCGTGCACCGCATGCATGCGTGAGGACACCGCCGGCCTCGTTCTAACCGAACCGGTTGGAACGGGGCGAGAAACCCACCCCTGATGTACCCATGTAATAACCCGGAACTGAGCTACTTAAGAGAAATGCTTTTTAAGTATTATAAAAGGCAAGAGAAAAAGGAAATAATAATTCAGTTGATATGAAAACCCTTGTACTCACTAACTTTTCCTGCTTTCTGAGAACCATATGCAATTTTAATAATGTATACTTAATTTTGACTTATTTTCATGCTATATGCTCAAGAGCTATGTCTTAATTTACAGGTTTAATTTTAATTTTATTAAAACCCATTAACGAAGAACAGGAATTAGAACATGAAAAATCACTCTAGATATTTATTGGTTTAAGTGAAAAAAAATATTTAGTACAAACAAGCTCCTGTTTAACAGAATTGAGAAGAAACTCATAAGTGCTCCGTATGGCCTAAATAATCAATGAAGGTCTAGCAACAATTGTTTCGTAAATAACTTGTGTATTAGTAAAGAAGAATCATTGCCATATGAGATTGCCTACCTGAGTCTGGGGCCAATAGGCTTTGAGAACAGCTTGTGTTCTAAACAGTATAAGCAGTTTGCTATCCTCGTCGCTTAGGTGAAAAGCTTGCTCCAAAATCTGCAGCACTCTTATGCGAGGCTTCACTGGTAAAGAATCATCTCCACAGTAGGGCCTAAGCCAAGCCAACAAGTCATCTGAAGACACCATATTCTCGCTACAATCAAATCAAGAAACACTTCTGTTATTATCGGTTTTCATTTAATCGTATTCCATTAACAAATTCCATTCAGATCCTTCTTGACTTAAGATAGCGGTCTCCAACCTCTCTGACTTAGCGAACTGGCGGGGGTGGGGTGATGGTTCTATGTGAGCGGCAGGTGAGAATATTCAGGAAATAAACAATGAAGTAGCTAACCTAAAAACTATCAATAGATAGCAGACAATCTTATATCTATTTTAAAATTATCCCGAAGGATGTTTAAATAACCATAGGTAATTAAAACTGGAGGTATAATGATGTTGATATGGTAAATATTCGAG